TGAATATTCAAGCTTTTGTAAAGTTTTGAGGATTTCTAAGGTCAGATGGCTGCACTGACAGTCAGGCAAAGCTCTTGGCTGCAGCCAGCATGGCAGAATGGCTGAGATGGCAGACCTACTCTGCATGTTGGCCTCACACTGCCCAAGGGTTCAAAAATAAAAATCCTATGCCCCTGGGAAAATATTCTCCAGGAAAACGGATTCTAAGCCAATGCACTCTGATTCTGACCCAGCAAGTTTTCAGAGTGAAAATTGACATACAGAGGAAGCTCTCTTAAGTTCAGACAGAGGGTGGGTGACAGAAAATAAATGTGGGAAACTGGTGACAGCCCACTCAGGTTATATTTTTGAAATCATACTGAGTTTCATGACCTCAGCATGAATTAGGAACCCAAAAGATGGAAACATAGCTACATAGACCAAAAATGAGAGCACAGGAAAACAACGAGATAAATGTCACATAAGTTACCTTCATCTGTGTGTGAAACAGGAAGACTCTGTCTCTCTGGTTTTCTCCCTGGTCCCCACTCTCAGCATTATGACTAATGTAAAGGCTGCACACTTGCAATACACATGAAAACCCCAACAACCAACACAGACCTCACATCACCCAACAGAGAGTATGGGGGAGAAAGATGGGGAGGGAAACCACCGTACAAAAATGTCTAACGAGAAAAGTATTCGTCCTTATAAAAGGCTCTGGTAACAAATTGTACTTGTTTGGAATCCAAGAATACTGCTTCTAAAAACTCCCTTTTGGTGAAAAAAGACACAGCTAATAATAATAACAGATGGGGGAAAATCCATCTCTACCCTTTCTCTGGGATATACACATACACATGCCCTCCAAAACAAAAACAAAAACTAAAACCCCGAAAGTGCTAGACCCTGAGTAGGCATTCAAAGAATATTTCTTGATGGTCCCCAGCCCTGGTCCTCCATTACGGCATGACATCTTAACAAGCAAGCAATCTTACTGAAAAACTTGACAGCTGAGCAGGAGTAAATCCATATAGAACACTACACTCCATGGTGATCAAGTAAGAACAGTAGAGTGTTTGGTTTTAAAAGTGCACCATTATTTTATGAAAGGACCAGAGCCAGCATTCCATTCTCAGATGCTGAGGGAGACAGGGAGAAGGAAAAGTTAATGAGAAAAGATAACAAGCTTAGTCTTTGCCTCACTACATGTGAGGGAGCAATCAGATCCCTAGTCAGCTCTATATGGAGAACAGCAAGAGATAGTTCTGAACACCTTGGGAGAAACCAGGCACAGGGGACATAAGCCTGTCTTATTGCTAAGGGCTAAAGATCTGTACCCAGACCTAAGGGAGCTACTGAATGACTCTCTTTGTTGTTCTGATGCTTGGCCAGAAGAAGTTTGAAAGTAGTAACCAAGGAAATGGCAGGAGACAAAACGTTTTAATTGTAATGTGTACAATTCTTAAAAAATTCAGCTTATCTTGTCCTAGAGAAGGATCTTTTGGATAAATCCAAGTAATGAAATTTAAGGGGCCTAAATTCATCTCTCTCTGCTTTATACCATCACTTTCTGTTCAGTTACCTATCTACTAGTTATTTTTCTCAGCCCAACTTTGAGGAACACAAAAACTTCTATATGTTACAACTAACTCATGAATTGAGGTTGGGATTGTCACATGTCGTCACAAGGTGATTTCAGGGCCACTTCCAAGTTACTGCAAAATGTCACTCAGTTTCTTTTTTACTTAAACTGGCCAAATATTGGTTTTCTATTTACATTATCTATTTAGTAGGAGAAAATGCATTTCATTATGACACTGAATCAGAGTGATTTTCCGGGCAATGGCTCCTGGAGAATTGTCTCCTTGTTGTTGTCATAAGCAGTCTGCTTTTTGATAACATTGTGCCACAGCTTGGCCATTACTTGTCTAACAGAATTATCAGTTGGAGTGAACTGGCCCCCAAGCAGCAGGGTGCTAGAGCTTATAGCCCCCAAGTCCTATAAAGGCAGCCATCCCTGGATTAAGCTCTTTTTATTTTTTGATTGTTTAATGTCTTGCATATTATAATCAGTGCTTTAATTCAGGATTTGGGCCTTCTGGCAGTTTTCTGAAGGGCACACATTTTGAAGTCAACTAATTATCGTGTGCTCTTTTCTTCAGTCACAAGTTCTGTGCTCTGACAGAGTATTTCTATACTTGCGGTCATGTTAATCTTTAAGCTGATGCTGCCCTAGGGGTTGCCAATGCAGAAGAGTCAGACAGTGACAAAGCATGGCTCACGCCTCTAGAAGGGCTTTATGCATTGGCAGTGATAAAGGGAAAGGAAAAGAGAGATTATGTGATACTGCCTTTAACTGAGAAAGTCTGTAAATCAACTTTTCTGCCTGAAAACAAGTACACATTTTGGAGAATACATTCATCTCTCTATTGTTAGAATTGTGCGAGCACTCAAAAAAAGGGTATGAGCCTCTATTCTGTGAAACAAAGACTGTTAACTATAAACCAATGAGATATAAAAGTTCTAAGTAAATGGAAAGACATCAATCTTATTCCAGTGTATCCATGGCACATGCTCTGGAGGAAGCTTATGAAAGAAAGCATGTATCACAGGAAGTAGCATTTCTGATTTAATTCTGCAAAGAAACGCATGGCTACTGGGTTACTTTTTATTGTACCATTACTATCCAAGTTGAAAAAGTCAAAATCCTTTTTTTTTTTTTTAACATATAATGTATTATTTGTTTCAGAGGTACAGATCTGTGATTCAACAGTCTTTACAATTCACAGCGCTCACCATAGCACATACCCTCCCCGATGTCTACCACCCAGCCACCCCATCCCTCCCACCCCCACCACTCCAGCAACCCTCAGGTTGTTTCCTGAGATTAAGAATTCCTCATCTCAGTGAAGTCATATGATACATGATAGTAGGAAGGGGAAAATGAAGGGGGGAATCAGAGGGGGAGACGAACCATGACAGACGATGGACTCCGAGAACCAAACTGAGGGTTCTAGAGGGGAGGGGGTAGGGGGATGGGTTAGTCTGGTGATGGGTATTAAAGAGGGCACGTTCTGCGTGGAGCACTGGGTGTTATGCACAAACGATGAATCATGGAACACTACATCCAAAACTAATGATGTAATGTGTGGTGATTAACATAACATAATAAAATTTAAAAAAAAAGAAAAAAGAAAAAGTCAAAATCCAAAAGCAAGAATTCTTTTTTGTAAGAAGGGGGAAACATGAGAACACAGGCCCATATTTGCCTGTGAGTACATAAAAAAACGCCAGGAGGATAGAATGGGGCTGGAAATACCGGAATAGAGAGGAGTGGAAATGGGAGTCAGAGTGTTCTATCGCCTACAGTTTTATTATCATTATCATGCACCAATGTGAATATACCTAATTCAAAAATTATGTTTATTAAAATAATGAAACTAAATAGGAGATAGTAAAAGCAAAGAACAAATTACATAAACAAGAGGCTGGCAAAAGGAGAAATAACAATCTTCCTACCAAAACAAGCTGAAACATATGTATACTTGTAAAGAACCTGTTAAATGTGGACATCTGCTAAAACTAGATGGTGGGCCCCTACTGCATGTTATATTATTGTCTGTAGCCCACCTTTGGAAGACTAAAATATTTCCCCCTCCAAAAAAAAAAATGTGTAAGAAATTTTCCTATTTTTCATCAAAGTAATCTATCCTTAAAGCCAAGGGGGAAATGTTTTTATGAAAATGGAGGCCATGTAGTGACTGGTTTGCTTTAACTATTTGCTTTTTACTTTCATAACCTGATGAGATTTCTGTATTTACCAAATAGGTAGTAATTATGACAAAAATACATGGGGACATCATGAGATATTGCACAGTGTACTGCCTGCAAAGAGAAATGAGGAAGGAAAGCAGGTTTCTTCCCTCAAGTTGATAATCCCAAACCCTGGAAAACTAATGCAGGAGCTCGACTGTCTTTCCAATTTTGAAAAAACTTTAACCAATGCCTTCTGTTTCCCAGACCTTCTTCCTCTCACACTTTGGGGATTAGACCCAAATAAGACTCAAACTGAGTAGAGAAAATTGTCTGCCCTAGTTAACTGGAGCCTACAGGATGATCATGTCCCATTTCCAGTCCTATGAGAGATCTGTAAAACCAGGGCAGGCTGTGTACCAGCCACCCAGGGTAGAAGGTGCTCTAAAGTTTCTCTCAGAATCTCAGGGGTATTCTGGACTCATGATAAATCATCAGAAGGTAACCCTTGGTAGGATGGAAAGCAAAGGCTCTATCAGGCTGAATGCACTCAATTTCCTGGGGTCGCTTCAGACTATGGCTGTCTCATCCAGATCCGTGCCTCTGGATTCTCTTTTGGGGGGTTATTTACTAAGTGATTTTAGGTCTGTTGAACTTGGGTGGGTGCCCTAGCCAGGCAAACTCTTCCTCTGTTTAACTAAGGCTCAGTGGAGGTGCAGCACAGCCTCCCACCAGGACAATCTTTCTAGTGTTACTTTCTCAACCGCTTCCCATCTCAAGAGTGTCCCCATGTCAGAGGCCACGAGAGACCCTCCATACACGTGATCTCCGATTCTGACAACAACCCAGCAAGACTGTTGCTCTTGGTTCCATGTTGCAAATGAGAGCAAAGGAGGCTGAAGGAGTTCAAGGGTGAGGCAAATGACTTAAGGCCGTATAGATAGTTGTACAGGAGAACTAATACTCAAATCCAGGTCTGATTCTGCAAGCCATGTTTTTTCTACTACAGCATATGACTTCTGATGTCATAACTTTTAGGTTTAGGAGTCTGAACATGATGTAGTTAAACTAAGGATGACAAATCCATATATACTAATTTGTGCTTGGGCTTATCTAAAGTCATTTATAAAGAAAAATGACAGTCACCTAAAAACAATTTGCTTGGGAATGCAAAGCTATTCAAAAGATAAACATTACATTTTCCCGCACATAAAAACAGTATTAAAAAATTAAATTATAACCCCAAAGAAATGTATAAATCTTACCACCTTCCTCGGGTTTCATGTCTAATAGTTCATCTACAGGTCCATTAGAGGAAGGGAAAGAAAACAGAATTATGAGTCAGTTTCATTTTGTAAGGAGTCTGTCAAATTTATTAAAATTGAGTCATTTTCCTTAATCTAGATTACCTGAGCATGCATTATGTGTACAGCTTTTGTCTAAGGCAGCTAAAACGCTTTTTCCATCTTCGGCTGTCAACAGAACACATGCATTTGGTTATCACCAATTCAGAATGGTGTGTATGTTCATATGCTATTGCAGTGTAAGGTAAACACACAGCTCATCACACAGAAGCAGGGGTCCTGAGATTACATTCTGTTCAGACTGTTGGCTCTCCATGAATTCTTAGTTAACAACCTCGAATCTTTGCTTTGTTTGGTAGAAAACTATGACACTGACCTAACAATTCTCCTTTCATGGACAAACGTGTGATTCAAGTAATTGACTACTGATGGTGCTACAAACCTTGGCCATTTGGGGCCTGGCTAAAATAAAAAGGGCAGATCACTGAGTGGAAGAAGTCAGCCTGTAAATGCTACATACAGCATAATTCTGTATACAGAATTTTGGAAAAGGCAAAACTATGTTAACAGTAAAAAGATCAGTGGTTGCCAAGTGTTTGGAGAAAGGGAGAGATGAACAAGGTGCAGCCACGGAGGAGTTTGACAACAGTGAAACTATTCTGAATAATACTCTAATGGCAAATACATATCATTGTATATTTGTCAAAACCCATAAAATGTGTAGCACCAAGAGTGAACCCTAATGTAAACTATGAGTGACAATGATGTGTCAGTGTTGGTTCATCCATTATAACAAATGTATTACCCTGGTAGGGGATGCTGATAATGCATCTCTGGGGACAGGGGGTATATGAAGATCTTTGTACCTTCTGCCCAGTTTTCTGTAAACTAAAAACTGCTCTAAATAATAAAGTGTGTGTCTGTGTATATGTGTTTGTATGTGTGTATATACAACACAACAGCCTTAAAACTTGGTTTGCTTGGGGTGGCTGGGTGGCTCAGTCGGTTAAGCATCTGCCTTTGGCTCAGGTCATGATCCTGGGGTCCTAGGATCTAGCCTCGTCTTGGGCTCCCTGCTCAGTGGAGAGTCTGCTTCTCCCTTTCCCTCTGACCCTCCCCTCTTGCTCATGCTCTCTGTCTCTCTCTCCTAAATGAGTAATAATAATAAAAAAAACCCTTGGGTTTGCTCATATGTACATTAGACTTTCTGTAGGTCACAAAATAAGACAGATGACACTTTAATTATGGTGGATTCCATTCTATGTATACATAAAACAAGGTAATCAACATTTTCAATCTCAAAATATTATGCAAATACCATAAACAAGTGAACATACTACACAAGGGAAAAAAATTTGATTCTTTCATATTATGTGATTTATATTGATATGTAACTTGAAGACATAATAAACTGGAGTTTACATTTTCCCTCAAAACTATAATATTTCTAGATTCCTACAACATAATTCATGCTGTCAACACCCAAGAGATACTGAGGCTGGAGGTGTGGATCAATACACTCAGAGAGCTCTTACATGCCCAACAGCATCAGGCTGACCTGCTTCTCTGTCTCCTGTCATTTGCTCCCTCTCTCAGTCTCCGAAACAGTGTCTTTCTCACCTTCTCCTGGTCCTCCTTGGCTCATAGTCTTGGCCCAGGCTGTTTCTTTTACCTTGATAACTCCTGCAACAGCACTTGACTTAGCTAGGTCCATAAGCCCCTTAAACAGGTGGGGTCTTCCTATCGCACCTGCCCAGAACACTTGCAGCTCTTATCAAAGTTGGAGTTGCCCAACTGCTTGTGCAGATTATCAGATTACCACCCGTTTCCCCTTTTGACTGTAAGCCCCATCATGGGAAGGGTCTGAATATGTCTGGTGTACTACTGTGTGCCCAGAGCCTACTGCTTACCTGCCACACAGGCAGCCCTCAATAAGTATCTGTGGAACAGGGGCGCCTGGGTGGCTCAGTGGACACTTAATGTGTCCGACTCTTGGTTTTGGCTCAGGTCATGGTCTCCTGGTTGTGAGATCAAGCCCTGCATCGGCTCTGTGCTCAGCACAGAGGCTGCCTGAGATTTTCTCTCTCCCTCTCCCTCTGCCCCTCCCCCTGCTCAACGTGCTCTCTCTCTTTCAAATAAATAAATAAAATTTTAAAATAAATATCTGTTGAACAAATGAACAAATATGTGAGTAAGGGAGGGAGTACGTGCATGAAATGATGATATGAAGCCTAGTTAGAGAGGCAGATAGGTGAGAGATTTTTTTTTTCTTTTGAAAGACAGATGAGGGAAAAGCAAATGAAGCAGTAAAGTGGGAGGAGAATAAAACAGGTGAAGCAAATGGTTGGAAAAGTAGGAGGAAAGACAGAAGGAAGGTAGAGGGTGGAGGAAAAGAGAAAGGAAGTCCCAGGGTCTGCTTTGCCTCCTCCTATCTCCTGGAAGGGCTGCCACAGCAAAGGCTGGAGTGAGGCAAAGGCGGATGTGCACACCACCCCCTCCCTCCGAGGGCCAGGCTGAGCAGAGGGTTGGGGTAATTTCAGTTCTCTCCATATCACCTGTAAAGCTTTCTCTTGCATCCCTGAGGATTTGAGTCCCAGGGAAAAGCTCAGCATTACATCACCTTAGTCCCACCACGTTTTACTGTACCCTCCACTCCATTATGAGAACCAGTGAAAGAACTGGCCATCATGGCAGGAGCCAGGAATAGCTGACAAACCTTTCATGGCACATTGCATCCTCTACTAACTCTCCGACTGCTTTCCCAACCATCGGAGGAGCAGCACACCCAAGGGAACAGATGTGACTCATTACAGAGCAGACCCAGGCATCACCTGCTAGAGCCGTCTGAGCTCTCCCCAGCTGTTCCCAACAAAGACCAGGCCCCCACCCCACAACACGGTGGAAACCAACTCACCCAATCTGATCATGTAATCTTATTAAAACTATCTTTACAGCCCAAATGGCAGTTAGAACTAGTAATGGCAATAGCAGAAATGTTATCATCTGTTGTAAAAGAAACTGCTCTCTGTTAATTCTCCATTTCGGATGCTCCTCTGACAGGCTGCTGCAGAAGTGACTGACGGTGCTATTTTCTGGCTCACAATATAAAACCCTCTCCCAATAATGCTATTTAGTTGGCATCACCGATATTTGAAAATTTAAAACCGAAATGGTAAAAAAAAAAAAAAGCAAATTAATATAGTATTTTCTCAAATGGAAAAGAAGAAAGGCCTAGTAGGAGCAGTCTGCCAAAAAAGAAAATGAATTGGTTGCTGAGCAGTAGTATTTCAGAAGCAATTCTAAATAAAAATCAAAACTTACTCTTAAAACTAGAAGACTCCTTGTGCTGGTTTTCATCCTCTAATGAAATTAACCTTAAAATTAAAAAAAAAGTTTAGTAATATAGTTCTGAAAATTTTATATTTATGATACAGCCAGATTCTTCTGTACCATATTACTGTACTTACAACATACAGACGTGTGCCCACACACATGAACATATAGTCATTCACATGCTATTCATTTTAAGAGGAAATACTTTTGCTGGCTTTTTCCTCTCCTAAGGCTGGTTAGTAGCATCTTAAGAACTGAATTTGGTTTCATCATAAGTCATATATTCTGTAAATATCTAGGTGGGCAGTTAAGTATAACTAAAATAGATACTGTACAGTTATCACTTTTAAAAACGTAGTTAAAAAACTGATGCGCACGTGAGTGTTTATTCTGATTCCTGCTGTTATAGGAGAGGACACCTCAGGAGGTTAGCTAAATTACTAAGGCTGAAAAGCAAAAGCAGGATCCGTCTCAAATCCAGAAGACTGTTGCCTACTGAACTCTCACCATACCGGTTAAGATTATGGCAGAGACATATCACCACCCTGAGACTCAGCTGGTACCTTTGAACCTCCCTCTAAAGCACCTTTACCTGCTATTTCTGGAAAAAAAAAAAAAATCTTGCTAAATTTCCATTTTGCATTTAAAATAGTTACTGAATTACACTTTTTGAGCTTTTAAAAATGAAGTACTAACATAATGGAGAAACCTGAAATTAAGGAGAACTAATCGAGACAATCTCGGGTGGTTCCTTTCTGAGTGAAGGCTAATACTTTGATTGCAGTAACATATATGGGTGAAAAGAAGGTACCAGAACTCATTCCAGGTCCTGCCTCTTACTACACCAGGAGCCATGGGCAGTCCCTTCACTTCTTTTGAGCCTCACTGCCATCATTTAAACAATGAGGAAATGTTGGCATTGATTACACAAAGGGTTGTCGTGAGAATGAGTAGAGAAAACATGTAACAAAGCACCTGACATTGCACTTCGTATATAGTAGAGCTCACTAAAGGGTACTAAGCATTACTGTTATTACCAGGAATAGGTTAAACTGCTTCCCTCTAAAATAGTCAATTTTATTAGTTTCAGATCATATTCTACAGCTGTTCCCACAGTGAAAACCTGTCTTTGTCTTACACTAACAGAATTTTCTAGTATTTGCTTTAATTAAAAAGGCCTGGGGTGCCTGGGTGGCTCAGTCGGTTAAGACTCAGTCTGACTCTTGATCTCAGCTTGGATCATGATCTCAGGATCTCATGCGTTGAGCTCCATACTCAGTGGGGCGTCTGCTTGAGATTCTCTCTCTCTGCCCCTACCTCCACTAAAAAAATAAATAATAAATAAAATTAAAAAGGCTAATACTGGCAGCAAATACTTCTGTGGGACAAAAATATGTATTTGAAACTTCAGAAACACAGTAAAAATACAAGTCAGTTTTACCACACAGTTATCATCTAAATTTTTTTGTGTGGAGAGAGAATCCCAAACGGAGGTAAGGTAATCCACTTTTCCTAGGTCAGCCAGTTCAAGACTAACCCTGTTCCTGCAAGCCCTGATATCTCAATAGGAAAGGATTCACACTGAAACTTCCTTGCCGACTGGGATCAGGACACATCATGCACCACATATGTTGAGAAATTTGTCTCAGTATGTAACATGACCGGAGGCCCCTTCTTTGTAAAGTGGCAAGAAATGGAGATGGAGCAGTCACTTTCTGCACTCTGCTTCACAGAGGAAAAAACAGAAGGTCTGAAGAGTAGGAAACAAAATGTCAGAACCCAACACTTTTGTATGATAACACCTTAGTACTCGATGTCTCCTGAGGCAATTTCATAGGTTATTTCCTTCTACAAGAGAAAAAGTCGGGGGATTTCCGATCTGGGACAGGATTCTGTAAACGATGGTAACAAAAGGACCAGACTGGGTCCAGAAGCCTGAGAGAGCAGAAAGCTGGGGCTGAGGCCACCAGACAGAGAGCCAGAGAGCACCGGAGATGTGTGCCTTTTCTCGTCCCAGTCAACTCCTCACAAGTGTGCTCCTTCTAAGACCCAATAAATGGGTCTCTTACTGGGATGAGTCCTGGCCGAGCAGGGCTATGTGCAGGCCAAGTCTGGGCTTTATTTTAATACATCAACCCAGAGAAGTGAGGAAATCAAGCAACCAGCCTGTGTTTGAGACCCCAACAGACTTGGTCAGTGAGGACTGTGTCGCCCTTGCCTGTGGAAATAAAGATTTTGCCAAGAGAGGCAGCCATAACTTACTGCCTTGGCTCTTCCACGGTGTCCTCTGCACTTTCCTGCTGGGTGATCTTCCTTTCTTCTTTCTCAATCAGTTTTTTCATAGGGTCTTGTAAGCTCTTGATCATGATAATGAAAAGGAAAAAAAGAGAGAGAAAGATCAATAAAAAACTCAACTTCCTCTGGTCCAGAAACCAAACCTTGAATTCAAGGTTTGGGGAGGTTACCTTTGATCCTATTAAGTAGACAGAAAAGAAATTTTAAATGTTCTCAGACCCATCCAAGAAATACTAGCCTACAGAGGAGAATTGTTTTGCCACTAGATTTATGCTTTCCCCTTTGTGATAAGTTATTCAAAAGAAGGCCTTTTGGCTATTGCTAACTTTATTTTCCATCTTTAACATGCAGCAAAGATAAACATTCTGTTCTGCTTGCAGCCCACACACTTGACAGAGTAGAAGTTTTCTCCCCCAAAGATGAGACAATTTCATTTTATTTTTAATTTTGCGATTTTATAATCTAAAAATAGCTTTTGAAAAATAAGAGAAAACAAAACCTTTTTTTAAGAAAAAAAATAGTGGCTTAACATATTCTGACAAGTTAACTCCCACGAGTGGACAGAGCAGGTGCATCCAAATCTTTGTAGATTAAAAATGGGCGGGAATCTTTTTCTGGAACATAATTTCTTGGAGTTATTGTTCTCAGGTTTTATTAAATATTTAAGGAAAGACTTTTTTTAAAAAAATCCAGTGCCTAAAAACTGTACACCAGCAGCAAAACCTGAAAAAAGCAAAACATTTCCATAATAACTGAATAATGAGTTATAAAAAGAGATCTCTACTTGTGGTTCTCATTAAACCACAAACCTACAAATTACACAAGAAACATCTCAAGATACTTAACCTGCTTATAATCTTAGAACCTTTAAAATCTGTCCTTTGGGCCTTCCTGTCTCGTCATCCTTCCCCTTCCCATCTTTCTCTTCTCTAGTGTGACCCACACACAGAAGGTGGCAAGCACATTCCCTACACCAACTCTGACAGATTTGTGATGTCTAGCTGCAGACTGGATGGAGATGGTCTGGAGACAGAGTCTTTGCAGAGCAGAGCTATGGCGATGGCAGTGTCTGCTGTGGATGCCAGGTGGACACTGGTGTTATGCTCTGTCTCACTCCTTATACAGAATAATTTCCCTATAACACCCAAGCAACCATGTTACCATTTTCCCTCAAGAACCCACAGTACTTCTGTATTTCTTTCCACTTCTAGTCTAAACCTGTCCGACTGATTTGAAAGATCTTCTAAAATGTGATCCTCTCCTATCTCCCAGATTGCTTCCCACTGGCTTCCAAATGGGAGCTTTCCATTCACGTAGGCCTGTCTCCTCATCGCCTTCTATGTGCTAATTGCTCCCTTCCTATCTTTGTTCATTCTGCTTCTTTACCCAAAAAAGTTCTACCTATTTGTCCACCCTCAAAAGTCTGATCAGTCTTTGCAAAGCCCAGATCAATTCCCGGTATTTTCCTTAAAGCTTAATTCACTAAGCATGCCAAATTCAAGAAAGTCCTTCCATCTTCAAAGTGTATTTACAGTCCTATTCACATTTGATTAGATCTATTCTGTATTATGTTTTGTTTCTTAAAAAATATTTTTTAAATTAGAAAAATAATAGAACCACATGTAGAATGCTTGGAAAATTAAAAAGGAAAAACTACTCATAATTTGATTTCCCCCCAAAATTAGTTATTATTTGCATGTATTTCCTTTCTGGTTTTTCATACTCATACTACTTTATATAATTGGAATCATTGCATATAGATGTCTTCTTAAGCAATATAAGATGTGTACATATTTCATAATAAAAAATATTCCTCATCAGAGAATATAGAAAAGATTTTATATATCGTAAACATTCAATATTAAATTAAAATAGGTAAATATACATTCATTCACCATTTTTCTAACATAAGGTCAAGGTTTTCTCATTGAATATATGTGCTATGATTGTAGTTCTGAAGCATTTTCTTGCATCCCAAAGGTATTGCCATCATTGGTAATAACTATTTCTGGACATTTAGATTAGTACATTTAGTCAACAAATAGTTTTAGAGCATTTACCAAGAGCCAGGTGCTGTTCTGGGTGCTGGAGATACAATGGTGAACAAGACAGACAAAATTACTAGTTAGTGATGGCTCTAAGGCAGGGAATTAACATGGGTGATACAAAGTGACTGGGTCACTACTTCAGTAAGCAAGAACATCCTCTCTTGGAAGTGACATTTCAGCTGAGAGTCAGAAGACACGCAGGAGCATCCGTGTGCAGCTCAGGAAGAAATGGAGGCCTGAGGGCAAACGCCTAAAGGAAGGAATAGCTCGGCTTGGTGGAGGAACAAAATGAATCCACTGAGATTATAATGTAGTGGGCAAGAGTACAAGTCTTAGGAGATCAAGATACAGAGGTCAGCAGGGGTCACACAGGGATAACATTTCTTTACCCACATTCGTCAATATTTAACATTGTGCCCCACTGGCTTCATCATATTATTTTGCCCTTTATATCTCTCCAATGCATGACAATGAAATGGGATCCATGATTATCAGCTGGACGGGGAAATGTGATAAAGGACATTATTGGCACAAACAAGGCCACTGGAATATGGACTGTAGTCTAGATGTTCTTCTTTTTTAAAAATCATATACCCCAAAGCATCTGGTAAAAGCTGGGCGTGCATGTGTGTGTATTTTGGAAATATGCAACCATAAGGAGTTCAACAGATGTCAAAGACTTACTCTTTTCAATAGATCTGCCAATCACAGCATTTTATTCACACACAGACACACAGACACACACACACAGACACACACACACACACACACACACACACACACACATACACACACACACCCTTCCAGCAGCTTTATTGCCCATAGAGTGGTCCAACCCTGGTCAAAGTGAAGCCGGGAGTATTTTCAGCTGAGGTTCTGATGGCCCCAAGACACACTTTTCAATTCTGTGACGCTTTGTCCAGGCCTCCTGGTTTGCTCAATTATCTTCTCATTGCATTTCCTTTTTCTCAATCAGCACTAGGCAGGGCCAGGACATGTCTGCTCTCAGCCGGCTGTGTCTAGCTGCCACAGTGCTTGCCTAAGCCCCTGAGATGCCCTTGACAGCTCCATGGTTATCATCCCTTCTGTCTCCAGCCCCACCTCCCCTCATAACCACACTCCAGCAGCTCTCAGACAATCCCTTTGTAATGTAAACCACTCCTTCCTTCTTTTCAACCCCTTCCCTGTTGGGCCATTAGCAGGGACTCAATTGTTGGCTCCCTGTCACCACAATCACAGTTAAGTCACTATTGTGCTTCACCAACAGAATGGCTACAGTTCCAATTGCTACTTTATTATTAGTAATTCCTGTTACCATTGCTCCTCTCTTCCTGCTATTACCATTGTCCCTATAACCATTTGACTGTTGCCACTCAAGAGAGGTGCTAAATATGTACGTGTTTGGTTGATAAATTAATGTACCTAAGGTTAAACTTTAAGGTTAAAAATTATAGCTCTTTAGCTAGAAAATTCAAAGCCTCAGGGAATAATAGTTTATAGAACCATAAGCAAAATTAATACTGAACACCTGGGCTTATTTATTAAATATTAGAATTTTGAGCTAAGGGGAATCTTGTGTGGGGAATCTATCATCAGCTTTACTGAGATATAATTCACGTACCATAGAATTCACTCATCTAAAGTATACCATTCAGTGGTTTTGGTCTAGACATAGAGTTGTGCAACCATCACCACAGTCAATTTTAGGATATTTTTAAGTGGCATCTTTTGAAGCAAGAGAGACTTTTAGATCAAACTGAGCTAAATACTCCTCTATACAGCAAGGGTAAAAAACCACAACACATATGGAACCTGTTTCTTACAAATATGATAAACAATATAGCTAATAAAGAAACTTAGAGGCACTTTGAAACATCACAGAGGATGAATCGCGTCCCCTTTCCTCTCTCAGCACTAGTTCCTGGGTGTGGCTGTCCAATACAGGATATTCTACATGGTGAACCAGTGCTTCTCCAAAGTTTGATGAAAAGGGCTAAGTGGGGGCCGCGGTGGAGGTAAATTCCTTAAAGTATTTTAAAGTCCACAACTCAGCTGAAAATGCTTAACCAACCCTACAGCATCTGTAAAAGTCAGGGGTGACAGCATTTTCTGTGTGACATGAACACCTGCTCAGGCAAAATGAACCTAAGAGGCCTGGCTGATTGCAGACAGGGGCGGCCATCAGATGGAACTATTTTGAATCGGTGGCTGATGGAAGCCACATTCAAATCCACATCCAGAAATGAGACATCAAAACACTGTTTCTAGAGCCCAAATCCAACTAGGTCCTTCATTAAAATTGCTTGTGAAAATCACTACGTATTAGCAGCAATACAGCATCGTGCAAGAATAAAACATTTTGTACAGAGGAAAGAATGTTTTTAGACTAAGTAACCTTTCTCTGTTTAAGGCTGCACTGACATGCTAATAGTTTCCATCAATGCTTAAATGGTTTCAGGAAGCACACACACAATATATAAGATCAGCGTGACAGAGGAAATGCGCAGACTGAGCTTGCAAAAGTGTCTTAGAAAGGAAACAGCTTAATATAATAATGGGAGTTACTACTTCCTGTATTAGGAAAATAAAAGCAAGAGCAACATTCATCTGAATGAAAGCAAAACTACTCAGCAAAACAAATTTCACAGACAAAAGGCTAGCAGCCAGCCCTAATATAATGACCTAAGTTTAAGTTTAGCCTTGACAATCGAGTGACATTTTCTCTAATCTTTAATTACAACATTTAATTTTCTTAGGCTACTTTCCATTAATTATACTGTATGCATATGAAGGTGCCAAGTGATTGTCTATAAAAGGAAATGGAAGTGCTGAAAATAGTGAGGCATGGTTAAAAGATGGTGAACTCAGTTGAGTGTGTGTATATTTGTGTATATATAATTGGTAGCACATGAGGAATAAAAAGCAGAGGCCAATGATGTGTATGAGACACACAATTCATGGACGTTTAACACACGTGGCCTCCCCACCCATGCAGTTATAAATCTCTAAAGATA